TCTTTCCTCTTTACGCACACTCTCATTCCCCATATCTGTATGTCTCTTTCCCCTTTACACACACTCTCATTCCCCATATCTGTATGTCTCTTTCCCCTTTACACACACTCTCATCCCCCATATCTGTATGTCTCTTTCCCCTTTACACACACTCTCATTCCCCCATAACTGTATGTCTCTTTCCCCTTTACACACACTCTCATTCCCCATATCTGTATGTCTCTTTCCCCTTTACACACACTCTCATCCCCCATATCTGTATGTCTCTTTCCCCTTTACACACACTCTCATCCCCAATATCTGTATGTCTCTTTCCCCTTTACACACACCCTCATCCCCCATATCTGTATGTCTCTTTCACCTTTACACACTCTCTCATTCCCCATATCTGTATGTCTCTTTCCCCTTTACACACACTCTCATTCCCCCATAACTGTATGTCTCTTTCCCCTTTACACACACTCTCATTCCCCATATCTGTATGTCTCTTTCCCCTTTACACACACTCTCATTCCCAATATCTGTATGTCTCTTTCCCCTTTACACACACTCTCATTCCCCATATCTGTATGTCTCTTTCCCCTTTACACACACTCTCATTCCCCATATCTGTATGTCTCTTTCCCCTTTACACACACTCTCATTCCCCATATCTGTATGTCTCTTTCCCCTTCACACACACTCTCATTCCCCATATCTGTATGTCTCTTTCCCCTTTACACACACTCTCATTCCCCATATCCGTATGTCTCTTTCACCTTTACACACACTCTCATTCCCCATATCTGTATGTCTCTTTCCCCTTTACGCACACTCTCATTCCCCATATCTGTATGTCTCTTTCCCCTTTACACACACTCTCATTCCCCATATCTGTATGTCTCTTCCACTTTACACACACTCTCATTATCCATATCTGTATGTCTCTTTCCCCTTTACACACACTCTCATTCCCCATATCTGTATGTCTCTTTTCCCTTTACACACGCTCTCATTCCCCATATCTGTATGTCTCTTTCCCCTTTACACACGCTCTCATTCCCCCATATATGTATGTCTCTTTCCCCTTTAAACACACTCTCATAACACATATCTGTATGTCTCTTTCCCCTTTACACACACTCTCATTCCCCATATCTGTATGTCTCTTTCCCCTTTACACACACTCTCATTCCCCATATCTGTATGTCTCTTCCACTCTACACACACTCTCATTCTCCATATCTGTATGTCTCTTTCCCCTTTACACACACTCTCATTCCCCATATCTGTATGTCTCTTTTCCCTTTACACACGCTCTCATTCCCCATATCTGTATGTCTCTTTCCCCTTTACACACACTCTCATTCCCCCATATCTGTATGTCTCTTTCCCCTTTAAACACACTCTCATTCCCCATATCTGTATGTCTCTTTCCCCTTTACACACACTCTCAATCCCCATATCTGTATGTCTCTTTCCCCTTTACACACACTCTCATTCCCCATATCTGTATGTCTCTTTCCCCTTTACACACACTCTCATCCCCCATATCTGTATGTCTCTTTCCCCTTTACACACACTCTCATTCCCCATATCTGTATGTCTCTTTCCCCTTTAAACACACTCTCATTCCCCATATCTGTATGTCTCTTTCCCCTTTACGCACACTCTCATTCTCCATATCTGTATGTCTCTTTCCCCTTTACACACACTCTCATTCCCCATATCTGTATGTCTCTTTCCCCTTTACACACACTCTCATTCCCCCATAACTGTATGTCTCTTTCCCCTTTACACACACTCTCATTCCCCATATCTGTATGTCTCTTTCCCCTTTACACACACTCTCATTCCCCATATCTGTATGTCTCTTTCCCCTTTACACACACTCTCATTCCCCATATCTGTATGTCTCTTTCCCCTTTACACACACTCTCATTCCCCATATCTGTATGTCTCTTTCCCCTTTACACACACTCTCATTCCCCATATCTGTATGTCTCTTTCCCCTTCACACACACTCTCATTCCCCATATCTGTATGTCTCTTTCCCCTTTACACACACTCTCATTCCCCATATCCGTATGTCTCTTTCACCTTTACACACACTCTCATTCCCCATATCTGTATGTCTCTTTCCCCTTTACGCACACTCTCATTCCCCATATCTGTATGTCTCTTTCCCCTTTACACACACTCTCATTCCCCATATCTGTATGTCTCTTCCACTTTACACACACTCTCATTATCCATATCTGTATGTCTCTTTCCCCTTTACACACACTCTCATTCCCCATATCTGTATGTCTCTTTTCCCTTTACACACGCTCTCATTCCCCATATCTGTATGTCTCTTTCCCCTTTACACACGCTCTCATTCCCCCATATCTGTATGTCTCTTTCCCCTTTAAACACACTCTCATAACACATATCTGTATGTCTCTTTCCCCTTTACACACACTCTCATTCCCCATATCTGTATGTCTCTTTCCCCTTTACACACACTCTCATTCCCCATATCTGTATGTCTCTTCCACTCTACACACACTCTCATTCTCCATATCTGTATGTCTCTTTCCCCTTTACACACACTCTCATTCCCCATATCTGTATGTCTCTTTTCCCTTTACACACGCTCTCATTCCCCATATCTGTATGTCTCTTTCCCCTTTACACACACTCTCATTCCCCCATATCTGTATGTCTCTTTCCCCTTTAAACACACTCTTATTCCCCATATCTGTATGTCTCTTTCCCCTTTACACACACTCTCAATCCCCATATCTGTATGTCTCTTTCCCCTTTACACACACTCTCATTCCCCATATCTGTATGTCTCTTTCCCCTTTACACACACTCTCATCCCCATATCTGTATGTCTCTTTCCCCTTTACACACACTCTCATTCCCCATATCTGTATGTCTCTTTCCCCTTTAAACACACTCTCATTCCCCATATCTGTATGTCTCTTTCCCCTTTACGCACACTCTCATTCTCCATATCTGTATGTCTCTTTCCCCTTTACACACACTCTCATTCCCCATATCTGTATTTCTCTTTCCCCTTTACACACACTCTCATTCCCCATATCTGTATGTCTCTTTCCCCTTTACACACGCTCTCATTCCCCATATCTGTATGTCTCTTTCCCCTTTACGCACACTCTCATTCCCCATATCTGTATGTCTCTTTCCCCTTTACACACAACACTATAATATTACCCTGTACATGGACACTCACGCTGGAACGGGTACCGACCTCTGTCCATGTTCTATTGAATCCAGGGAAAAGTGTATTTTAACCCTCAGCAACTGAAAAAAGTAATGGCCACACGAAAATTGAACAACAAAATAAACTTGTTTAATTATTTCGAGTTTGTCGTATTTGTGTTTTGTTCTCTTCACAAGCCTCGGCATTTTTTTCCTTTTAAAATCTGAACATTGTACATTTTGTCCCGCGATATATGAACAAGTGAAACGTTCAACTGTGTCATCTAGGTGAAGCTTACACAATCGCACTAGGATACCCGTGCACGGCTGACTGATGCTGCTGCTGCTGCAAGTGTAGTTTCACCTGGCCATTGTTTCAAGCATGTGACGGTGTTGTGTTCTCTGACTGCACCGTGACCAGCTTCACAGTCCGGGTATCGCACGCCCAGTGTTAGCTAATATTACCCACACTTATGCAGTATGGATAAACGTTGTCAACACCTGAGACAAACCCGCTTTTCACGGGCTTTTCAAAGCGTTACCACTTACTTCCAATTACAGGTGCAAATAGGAGTGTAAACTGTTCGTCTTGACCACCTGGTTGGGGAGGTGGGAGACCGCGGTGGGAACATTAGCACTGGCTATCTATCTTGTTCTGACATCAGTGTCCAAACTGACCCCTTTTAACAACTACAATGAACACTTGGTGTCATCTTTCTCGGGTAGATTGTGTGCTCGTTAGATTCTCACGATTGTTATATGTGTTTGAAAGTGTGGTAAGTGTCGGTAACTAGTGACATGTTGGGGAGCCTGGGGTCCCGCGACGTGGGAGAAGGATGGGGAGGAGGGGTTTCCTGCGCCAGTTGTTTCCTGTTTCAGGTCGATACCGAGATACAGTTGGCCAGTACAGTCAGTCTCCCTATCAACGAGTGTACGTTAACAGGAAAAGTAGAAACAGGTACAAAAAAATCGGGGGGAAAGGAAAAAAATAAAACAGCTTCTTATAAAATACGGTTACTCCTAGCAAACATCTTGAAGACGTAAATTCCCACTGAACTGCGGGGCACAAGGAAGTATACACTTTGATGATGGCTAAAACTGAAACAAAAAGAAATGTGTGGCGATTAGGTGCTTTACTCTGGGTTCGAATCCTGGATGGGACTCAACCAAACAAAAGTACTAGAAAGTACTTTACTAAGAAATTGTTATCCTAAATGCGACATTTGTTAAACAAGAAATGGATATTTCCGATGGCGATGTATTTGGCACGAGTTTCATAGTTGTGTTTTGGACTTTAGGTCTGCAGTGTTTTTTTCGATGACTGTTTTCAGCCTGGTAACATTTTGACAACATGTTTAATGTTTTTTTCAAGTCCAATTTCCAAGTGTATACTTTCATTTGCCCAGCAGTGTATGTTGACATATGCTTGAGTGCCATCATTGTTGATTAAAACCAGATTATTAAAGCCTAGCTTTTTCATCTTTCTCAAAGCAGAAAGTATTTCTCTGGTCTGTTTTCCGCCCTTTTTGTACCATTGCAACTTATGCCCATGTCATTAACACTATGGTTGTGGCAGGTTCTTTAATATCGCTGTTAGTAACCAGAAGAATCAGTTCTGTTAGCAAGGCTTAATTGGAAATGAGGTTAGACTGATTACTACTATTATTCCAACCGTATCCAGTGGCACATCGTGAGTGACTTGTTGACACCGGGTGCCCGCACACTGAAGGAACACCCGCCCTCCCTGATTGACATGGGGGTGGACATATTGCTTGTATGACTATAGCAGTCAATGCCATATTGTATCCATGTCAGTCGGCTGTCCGCAGGTGCCCGCCTCCCCCAGCTTCCACCCTCAGTCTCCCCCACAAACCCTCCCTCGAGCTACCACCCTCAGTCTCTCACCCAACCCCCACATCCTACGTCGAGCTCCCACCCTCAGTCTCCACCCCCACCCCCAACCCTCCCTCCAGCTTCCACCCTCAGTCTCCACACCCAAACCCTCCCTCCAGCTTCTACCCTCAGTCTCCCCCCCCCCCAACCCTCCCTCCAGCTTCCACCCTCAGTCTCCACCCCCAACCCTCCCTCCAGCTTCCACCCTCAGTCTCCACCCCAAAAACCCTCCCTCCAGCTTCCACCCTCAGTCTCCCCCCCCAACCCTCCCTCCAGCTTCCACCCACAGTCTCCACCCCCAAAACCCTCCCTCCAGCTTCCACCCTCAGCCTCCACCCCCAACCCTCCCTCCAGCTTCCACCCTCAGTCTCCCCCCAAAACCCTCCCTCTAGCTCCCACCCTCAGTCTTCCCACCCACCCTTGCCCTCACCCCCTCCTCCCACCCTTTAAAAAGGCAATTGTGTTCTTAATGAATTATTACTAGAGTCCCCAAGAGCTTAAAGTTGTCTTTAATGATCTGCAAGGTACGCGTCCCCTCTCTCCAGGTGGGGCTTATGGAGGTAGTCACGTGACGACGTCGATCTCTGCAGCCTGTAATCAGGTTCCGTCCCATTATTACATGAGCAATGAAAATAGAAGATTTGTATATAGATGAACTCCCTACCAGTTCCTATATATGCAGGAAGTACGTATAAAATCACCAACGGCCTTGTGAAAGGGGAAATAACTCAGTATCCAGAATTCTCATTAACGGTTCTGTTGTTGACGATTAGTGTCCAAAGGCTTGTTGATGACAAGAATCAAAGCTTCCCAGATCTTAATTCCCCATTCCGTTGTTGGTCCACTTTTGTTCCCCTATTGTTCAGCTATTGTTCCGCTATTGTCCCCCTATTGTTCCGCACATCAGATAGCAGCTGAAGTAATTGCCAGACTCTCCTAGTCAACTAAGGACCTGCCCCCTCACAGTATACACACACAATAGTAATTAGGCCTCCCCTCACACGTCAAGCCTGGTCTCCCATGAACCATCTGACCCCCATGCTGATTCCCCGCCCTGCTCCGCAACTACCCCCGGGCGCACGTGCAGTAATAACCCTCACCTCGCTACCGCAACGACATACCACGTGATAGAAATGTTTGCCCGGTTTGAGGTACAAACCCCCTTGATTTAATGTTCAATGTAATTGAAAAGAATACATTTCAAACGATATAATGATTTACACATGTTTAGAAAACGATGAGATGCGCCATGAATTCATTGACAAATACAGTGCCAGCCAAAAGAATGTATACACTTGAAAATTGGGTTTGACTAAAAACAATTACAAGCGTTATAAAAAGGTTGAGGAATGCAAAGAAATGATTTTTCAGTTTTATTTCAATCCCCTTGCCCCCCCCCCCCCCCCCCCCCCCCGGCAAAAAACACAAAAAAACCCAATCCATTCGGACAACACTACTTTTAAATAATTTCCAAGTAAGTTTCAACAGAAAAAAATCGAGTATTTTTTCCTTTGTATTCACAAATTGGTGTATTTAAGTTAAGTTTCTTCACCATGGTACCAAGAGGTATAGGTGAGCGAGTTGCGCTGCTGGCTTAAACATTGTTACTGACAGCAAAACCGAAGACTAAGAAATTTAGAACTTTCAACTAAACACACTAAAACCACTCTTCCTTTTAGATTGGGGGTTACCCAGCCTCGGCGAGCTCAAACTGACTATACTATAAATATTCCAAACAGTTGCAATCCTTTGAAATGTAGCAGCTATGACCGACTTCTGGTCCCACTCGAATATTCACGGCGTCTAATATGGAGAAGACCGAGTATGTAACCTGTGCAGTTCTTAAGCAATTGCTGGTTAATTCCAGTACTTGTTTCGCTGTGAAGCTATAACAAACCTTACTTCAACTTATATGAAGTTACTATGTTTTTTTAAAATCATATATATATTATATTTGCTCTTGTGCCACCGTTATTGGTTCACTTCACGCTACTTCACCATACTGAACACACAGGAAGGACATACACGGGCTGCAGCAGGAACAGGCAACACTTCCGCATCTCTTGTATACGTCATGTTCTGAAGCCTGACAAAGATGATTTGTATAGAGATGAAGCAACACGAATGTCAAATGCCCAACAGACAGAGGGAAGCACGTCACCATGGCGTAACACACGTTAGCTGTGTACTAACCAGGAAGAAAGATTAATGGATATCATTACCTTGCAGGATTATCTCTAATAAGACAAAGTTGACAAGTTCTATTTGAAAAGCGCAGAAAGGAAATAATCTGAAAACCACTACATGAGTAATTGGCAAGAACAATCTTGTTTATGTTTCTGTTATTACGTCATTATTATTTAAATTTGATGTATATTAGAGGTAACATTTTCAACAAAATTAAAAGAAACATTTCTTTTTGTTCCAACATTAAACTTTTCGAAAAGGAAGGAATATGAAACATGAGTAGCTGCGGGATGTAGAACAGGACAAGCTTAATCTTTTCGCGAACACCTGGTGTCGACACTGATTTCACGTGATCCATTCTTATAAATCTACGGGGGGGGGGGGGGGGGGGGGGGGGCAGTCGTCTAAGGCGCCGCGATTTGCTGTGCAGAGTTGCATCCCTTGGGGACGCCAGAAACCTATGATTGTGGGTTCGAATCCCGGTTCGCCCCGATTATGTTTCTAGGTTTGTCAGCACCATACCCGTGCTCGTGGGTTTCACCGAAGTGGTAAACGTGTGAGACCTGCATCACTTCGGGCTTTCCTCCCACATTAAGCTGACACGCCGTGATATAACTGGAATAATGTTAAAAGCGGCGTTAAACCCAACTCACTCAATAATAAATTTATGAAATCTTAAATGTCCTTGAAGGAAGAGGTGTTCCCATAGCCTTTGTCTGTGTACCATGCCCATTCCTCGTCAGAAATAGATATTGTTCATATCTTAAACCAGAGCTGTTTAATGAGTTCTGGATCAAGTACATTGGTCCCCGTCTTTTAGTTCTATTAAACTGAACGTGTTGGTATCCTAAGGTTTGCAACTAATGGCATCAGTGTAGTTATATACCTTATTTAAGTAACCGTCTGTCAGGACCATGTCACTAGACAGCATTGGCATCGACATCAGCATGGCGGGTGCCTCCCAGGTTTATGTTATATAATACATATCCAGTTACTGACATGTTGTTTGTTTGTTTGTTTGTTGTTTAACGCCGCACTCAGCAATACCCCAGCTATATGACGGCGGTCTGTAAATAATCGAGTCTGGACTAGATAATCCAGTGTTTGACATCATGAGCATCGATCCATACAACTGGGATACGATGACATGTATCAACAAAGTCAGTGAGCCTGACCACCCGTTCGCATTAGTCGCCACTTACGACAAACATAGTCGCCTGTTACAGCAAGCATGGGTTGCTGTAGACCTATTCTCTACCCGGATCCTCTATTAACATGATGAGAAACAAGCATTTAACTAAGTCACAGAGACTGACCACCCCATCCATTTTGTCACTGTTACCAGAATATGTTGCAGGGGTTTGTTCTAACCCGGAATCCCTAGGGGGGAATGGAATAACAAGTGATGTTTTCGAATAAATACATAACTGCAACCCTGAATCCAACTGCCGTTATAGCCATATAAGCGTGTTGGACCCATCAAACCATAGCGTATATGTAGACAGGCGTCGTGGTATCATGTTTTCAACAATAATGTTTATATTTAATTTTTGGGGAGAAAATACACTTTCACAAACAATTTTTTTTTTTTTATCATGGGCAATATGTCGCCGTAATGTCCGTATGCCGGGACAGATTTATGGCTATAGAAACATAGGGCGACACACCCACATCCACCCACCCACATGCAACTACCCGCCATCAAGTCATATACAAACTGTCATGCTTTCTGTTAACATCGAATGAGAAATATCCATCACAATTGTATAAAACCCCTTGCTATGCAAACGAATGCATGTCTTCCAATTGCCCTTTCCGCCCCACCACAAATTATTCCCCCTGTTCTCTTCCTATAGACGTCAATTACCTCCCAGATATCATTAAACCCACCCCCCTCTTCCCCTAAACAGACGACCCTACCCGTTCCCAAATCGTAAAAAGTACCCCCTTCCCCTACCCGTAAGACACCAATTATCCGTCCCTAATCGTAAACATGCCAGGGTGGCTCCCCCCGCGGGACAGACAGTTAGTGTCAACCCAAACGTTGCGACCCCTAATTGTCCCTTTTGTCACCGATCGCACAACATGAGCAAACTGCGATACTTGGGTATTGTGAACAGCGACAAGATGGAACCCGTCTTCCCTAACCCGCAGCTGCAGTTGATTGCAAACTACGATGTTATCACCATCCCCGTTGGTCACGCTGCTATCAGTGCCCATAACGTCTCCAGTTTCAACGCTGTCTTATCAAAGACCTCAATGACTCTATCACTGTGTAAATGAAGGCCAGATTGTGGTTTGACATGCCGATACACTAGGCTAGTGTCAACCTCTATACAATAGGCTATTGAAGACACTGTGACTTATTGACAGCGAGTGTGATTGATGGAGAGGAGGGTGGGGCTGTTGGTTTTGTCACAGTATCAAATCTCGAGGTGGCAGATGCATAGAAAGGAATAACTTTCAAATGGGCTTGTCCTCTGTTATTCCCTTTATATTGATGGCAATTCTTTTCTACAGAATGTTTGCGAATCCGCTTTTGGTTTGTATGTTTTACAACACAGAACACCTCCAATATACTGAGCTCGTTTCAATGAAGACATTTTGGCACGGGCAATTGTTTCCAATGTCTAAAGGTTTATCACTCCAATTCCCACAGAGATATATTATTTTAAAAATAAGAATAAAGACGGTCAATTCAAGTACTAGCATACTAGCATACTAGCCTACACCTTTGGAAGAACGTCTCTGTGATAAGTCCTCAGTCCTTGAAGATGAAGAACACGATCTGATGTCTTGTAGTAAATATGCAGATGTAAGGCACCCCCTGTTTAATTCTTTAAAACATAATTAGTTGGAAAGCCTTAACATCACAGAAGTATTTAGTCTACTTTTTTTCAAATAATGAACCAGGTAACATAGAAATAATCTGCTATCATGTATACAACTTCAAATGAATTTGCAGTCCATATTATATATAACCAAGGCCATTAGTAATATTTTGTATTGAAACTTTGTGTTGTTATCCTGACTTGTTATGTATCTGTTTATATAGTTTATAGAATTTTGTCACTGTTTCTTCGAATGTTTGCGCAATATAATCTTGTATCTTGCATCTTGCATCTTGCATCTTGGATCTTGTATATTGCATCTTGCATCTTGCATCTTGGATCTTGGATCTTGTATATTGCATCTTGCATCTTGC